GCCAAAGGGAGTGTTCGGGTTCCTCGTAGGGAGTTCGGGTACCTTGCAGGGAGTTCGACCACTAAGTAGGGAGTTCGGGCACTCTCTAGGGAGTTCGGACCGCTGGTCTCTTCCCTTTGGCGTTTGTACCCTCGATACGCTGTTTTAAGTGCCGAGCTATTTGCTTTTTTGCCACGTGACGTGATTTGCGAGGTCGGGCCAAATCTTCCTTCATCAGTATCCAAGTATACGCTTCAGAAAAATTCTAGAATTCTATGTTCAGCTTCCATTTTCCAATCATCCAGACTTAAACAGAGAACAAACAAAAAAAATCCCGCAAAGCAGGAGGGAAGCAGTAATGCAAGATGTCTAACCCCATCAAACTAGTTCAAAACATCAATCACTTGTTTCCAAAGCAAGACAGCAGTATGCTGAGAAAAACCGAAAAAGAAAACTTTCCTGTTAATTGAAGGAAAGGTCTTAATTAATTCAGACTTGTATGCAAAGCAAGACAGCAGTGTTCCGGACTTGGCTGGAGCTTTAGACATTATTGCGAAAGAAAGGCCTTAATTAATTCAGAGCTAACAGTTAAATTTTATGGATACAAACTTGGTCTTTTCTTGCCAATATATCTACTGTTAGACATTTCCCCAAAGTTGCAGCCCACATCAGAACTGCAACTTTGGGAGGGGCTATCGAATTCCAAGCTCTTGCCTCTGGGCAGCAAAGTATGAGATAATTTTCATTCAATTCACAAGTTACAACTTACAATTTAGAAGAAAATGCAAGACTAAACAGCCATGGTGATTGCGTACAACACAATGTGCCAAGCGTCCCTTAATTTGATAGGCTTGCCCCAGCTAACCTATTTTTGCATGCCTTCTAATTATCATTCTGTCTATATGGGCAATGACCCCAACACCCTAATACAGAAATCTCCTGTTTATCCCTTACTTATCTAATGTATTAGCCAGACTATTGGCCAATCTTTTGGTCCACCAACTACCATTACTGTTATTTTTGAGCCAGCCCACAACTACCATTTACTCCCCCTCCACCACAAAATCTCTGTAATCAAGAACTTTGGCCAATCTCAGTCTGTGAAACAGTCAATAACTTAGCGCTTGCAATATTTCTGTAGCCTATAGGGCTAGAGAAAATGTGCCATTATATTTCCTTTACTGTTTTTGAAGACTCCACTTATACCAGATGGCTTTGGATTGCATAAATAACACCCATGGAGTGAGGTACCGGTGGAAGCAAACAAGGGTAAATAAAGGAAGTGTTCTGGATTTCTAGTGAAAGATGAGAATGCCACTGCCTATCCACACCAAATGAAATCATTTGCTATAGTTATATACCTTCTTGGATTTCATATTTCTGAAGAGAAGCTTGACAAATGAATAATAAGACAGCTCAACTTCCGATTTCCTATTTGTGTCAATGTGATTATTAAGGTCAAACATCTTTTCTGGGTTTTAAAATCCCCTATGTAATTTGAAGATACAGAGAGAGTTCTTTTGGGTTTGATTCCTGGATTACTTTGGATGTTGTAACTGAAGATGTTTAAAAGGATTTTCTTTTATTCCTCTCTGTCATCTCTTCTCTCTCTCTCTCTCTCTCAGGAGAGCTTTTATTGCCCCATCGAACCATCTCAATAATCCTAGTTGGACTCAAAGCAAGTTGTCATATCCTATTTCAATTCAAAGAAGACAAAATAACTCTAATCCTACTTATGCAATGACTCTGAAATTTTAACCATAAGCAAACTATAACTAGACAAATTAAACCCTATCAATGGATCCCACAGAAAATTGCAAAATGACGAAATTATCCTACTGTCCAAAAATACAGAAATACATAAAATTCCAATTTTGACACTTCAGCTCCTGCACAACAGCAAATGACTATAATTGGCAATTGGCGGGCTTCTAAAAGCCCAGATCTTTGGTCCACCGGGCGTCTAAAAGCCCAAAAATACATGAAATACATAAAATTCCATTTTTGGTCCACCGGGCTTCTAAAACCCCAGACCTTTCAAAAAGACTTGCCAAACAGGGCCTAAAGCAAACCAACTGGGTGCCCAAAACTGAAATTATTTTCCTTTATTTTACAGAAAAAACAAGAAAGGAAAAACAGCAAATGACTATAACCAACCAGTACCTAAGCTCAAAATGTGGCCACAAAATAATTCACAGGAATAAAACTTCTCACAATAAGCTTTCTCTGCCAATGGAATATGGAACCTTCCTATCCTGAAATCTGAGATTGACCCAGCTGTTCTATCATTCCATATGTTCATAATTTCTTTATTAGTTTGATGAATTAAATTTGATTATGGCAGAATAAGAAATATTGTATGGGGATTGGATTTTATTTGTGGGGATTGCCTTAGATGTAGAGTTTCTAGGTCAGTAGATCAATTTGTTTGACTAATATCTGAATGGCTACCTAAATTTGGAGTACTGGGACTTTGGAGTAACCTCAACAGGTGATGGGATGGCAGAAAATTGACTGTTATTATTCACTCTTGTGCATAGGTGATCGATAATATATATCACTAGTGTTTTGAAGTCTGAACTATCATTTATATACATTGGAACCATTTTCACATACTCTCCTTAAGTCCTTAGTAGCTTAATCTTCCACTTTCTCTCAATACCATTTGAAAGTTCATTCACATCTAGTGTTTATCTTCAGCTTTCTTAAAAATTTAAGTCTGCGAATCCAGCATGTGAAAAGTCTATATGTGGGGTTGTCTGATTTTAAATTTAGCCACCAGGTGGTGCATTGACCTAATCTAGCCATGTAGGATATGGTTTCTGGATAAGTATTGTCATACATTGGAAGTTTTTCATAGATCAGCCTACTTGTCCCACATCACTGATGTTTAGTATCTGTGCCTATCAGTTAAAAAGGTTCTAGCAAAGCAAGGGTCACAAAACAGGTATAGTCCATATTAATCAAAAAAGAACAACCTGTCAGGACTGAGAATATTTAAGAAAGGCAAATTTATAGGAGTTAGATTCACTGAATCCTCTGTTAGTCTTCACTGAGAATATTTAAGAAGGTAATATTATCATATGTTAGTCTTCACTAATCCTCTCTAGTGTGGCATACGAAGCTGAAAGGAGTTAGATTCACCTTACAGCTGCTTGTGTCAATACCATCCTGAATCTTCTTTAACGTTAAATCTGGTTAGTGTTTTTTCTGACATCTAAAGCTCTTCTCTGAGAATGTAATCCATCACTTCGAAGTTCCAACACAATGAAAGCTTATTTAGATCTACTTTGCATTGGACAATTGGGACCCCCTCCCCTTCTGACACTCAAGTCTCAAGTCAATTCTTTATTCCAAAATTAAGACACCATGAATAATTATCTACCATTTCCATGGAAAAGCACACCTTGCAATATAGACAGAATTTACAATAAGATTCTATATATCCTTCCCAGAGAGCCTATAGATATAAAATCCTTTAAATAATTGTTTCCAATTTCTGGTAGGAAGAAAAAGAGGAAAACATGAGTAGTGTAGCCAGGTAGGTCTTAAACATTTAATGCGGTATCATTATCTATCAGCCTACCTGTCAAAAACAAAAAAAACTATATCATTAGAGAACACCTGGTACCTTTTCTTTTCCAGCATTTTCTGGTTGTGTTGATGGTGATGGTTTCTTGTTTTGCATTCTTACACAGTACACTAAAACTGTAAGGATCTTCGAGCACCTCTCCATGTATGACATTTTCCATAATTGGCAATTGGCGGCTGTGTCCTCTTCAGGTAAACAGTGATTGGGCCCAAAATGTGGCAAGATACAGAACTAATTTAGAACAATGGGCACATGGAGCCGGAATAAAAATGGCGAGATGCCAACTTTATGTAAATTGAACAGCCTAAAAAGACAAGGGAAAGACCAAACACTGCAATTGCTTTATCCACCTGAGCAACGAAAAAACCAAGATGTTCGTGGAAGCAAGGCATTTTTCATGTTCTTGGATTGAGAGAGGAGATTTGCAAAAGGGAAAACTTGGTTTGGCAAAGGTAGTTGGTAGTATCTATCTGATGACGACGAAGCCTAGACGACGAGTGGTTTCCATCAGCTTCAAGACTTCTGAGTTCGAAACAAACTTGACTGAATCAGAGAGGAGCAGGGGAGCTGGGATGAGAGTTACATGAAGAGCTGAACTCGACTGGAAAGTCTCTCCCGGAGATGAGAAGGAATCCCGAAAGGTTCTTACAACCTAGAAGATTTACAGTCAATAGAAGGTCTGTGACTGCGCATTCAAGTACAGGAGAATAGATGGGGTCGGTTCATCAAGTCAGTGCATTTCAGAGGAGGAGAAAAGCTCCGGTTGAGCAATCTTCCAGGAGGCCTTAACCGTTCTTGATCTAAGATTGGAAGAGAAAATCTTTTCGAATCCAAACGAACAGGATCCGCACTATCAAATCTTTTATGACTGTTGGCCGGTCACCGGTGCAATGGAAATGCGCACAGACCGAATTCCAGGTGAGGATGGCAACTATTGAGGTTCGGATTTCAGGTATTCCGAACCACACCCGTTCGGCATCCAATCCTTTCCCATTTCGTAGTTTCATTAAATAAAACCAATTCCGATCTGGGTTTTCTGACCCATACCCGTTTCCACATCCAATCCTTCCCTATTTTTAGTTTTATTAAATATTGTTTTATCACTTATTTCATTAAATCAAAGAATTAGAATTAATGTCCCTCACTTGAGTAAAATTCATCTCAAGTAATTTCCATTATTTAATAATTTTCAAGAAATAGTAATGGAAAAAATTGTAATTCTTAATAATAATAATAATAATAATTTCCATTATTTACAAAAGCTCTAATTGGGCAATCTTCGAGGAGGCCTTAACCGTTCTTGATCTAAGATTCGAAGAGAATCTTTTAGAATCCAAATAAACAAAATCCGCATTGTCAAATCTTTTATAACCGTTGGCCGGTCACCGGTGCAATGGAAATGCGCACGGACCGAATTCTGGTAGAGGATGGTAACTATTGTGGTTCGGATTTTGGGTATTCCAACTTGCACCCGTTTCGCAACCATTCCTTTCCCATTTTGTAGTTTTATTAAATAAAACCGATTCCGATTTTGGGCATTCTGACCCATACCCGTTTCCACATCCAGTCCTTCCCAATTTTTAATTTTATTAAATATTGTTTAATCACTTATAATAATAATAATAATAATTTCCATTATTATAATTACATATTAATTACAACAATGTATAATATAATTACACATTATAATAATTTCCATTATTTAATAATAATTATTACATAATAACTCTTAAATTACAATAATAAAAATTAATAATTACAATAATAGTAATAATGATATAAATATTTTTTAATAATTACAACACTGTAATTATTACATAATGGCAAATTATTATTATTATTAAATTACAATAAAATTATTGGAATATTTATTGTTATTATTGGGATAATTATTACACTAATATTTCTTACGTCAATAATCATTTAATAATTACTGAGCTATTTTACTTCCTCATTATATAATAAATTATTATTAAAAAATTATTCACATAATATTTTATCTCACTTATTTAATAATTACCTATTACATAACTATAACTATTTAAGAATTATTAAATCCTTTCTTTAAGTAATGGATTAGAGAATATATTGAAAATTATTTCGAAATGTATTTAAATTATTAAACTTTAATTTTTTAGAATAAATTATTAAATTATTTAATTATTATTATTATGGAAATTATTTACATAATAGTCCATCTTTATTATTGAAAAATAATTACTAAACAATCATTTAACAAATAATTATTAAATCAATAATTATAAACTAATTATTTACATAATATTATACCTCAAATATTTAATAATTATTTATTAAATAATTATTGAAAATTAATTAAAAATTATTAAAATAAAATATTCAGGAATATACAGAAAATTATTCAAAAATATTTTTTAAATGATTAACTTTCAATTTCCTGGAAGAAATTATTAAATTATAATAAATTAATTTTCAGAAAATTAATTTCCCCAAATTAAAAAAATTTAATTTTCGAAATGAAATATTTGATAAATATTTCAGAAATTGATTACATAATAGTCCATCTTTATTGTTTAACAAATAATTGTTAAATAATCATTTAATGAATAATTTCTTATGTAATATTTTAGCTCGATTAATAATTGTTTGTTAAATAATTTTTGAAAATTATTTTAGAAAATATTAACTTTTATTAAAATTTTTTGGAAGAATCTATTAAACTAGAATAATTTACTTTTCAGAAAATTAATTTACGCAAATTATAAAATTTTAATTTCTTTGGTAAATTATTTAATAATTATTTTCGAAATTGTTTACCTAATGGTTCATCTTTATTGTTTAAAAATAATTATTAAGTTAATTATTTACATAATATTTCACCTCACTTATTCAATATTTATTAAATCTATTATTTCAATAATGGATTCTGGAACACATTGAAAATTATTTCAGATTTTATTTAAATTATTAAATTTTAATTTCATGGAAATTATTAAATTGGAGTAAATTAATTTTCAGAAAATTAATTTCCTCTAATTATAAAATTTTTATTTCATGGGTTAAGTTGTTTAATTATTTAATAATACTTCGAAAATTATTTAGATAATAGTCCATCTTTATTGTTTATAAATGATTATTAATTAATCATTTCATAAATAATTATAAAATAATTAATTGCATAATATTTTATTTTATATAATAATTAGTTATTAAATAAGTATTTTACCTTATTTATTAATTAATCATTTCATAAATAATTATAACATTTTTATTGTTTACAAATGGAGTATTTTCTTTCTAAAAACCTAGGTAAGTTATTGCTCTTTGTAATGTTTATGCAACTATTAAAAATCATTTCTTACTAATATTAGGGTCATGTGTTTTCTTTACCTATTGTTTTATAATCTTTTCTATAATGTTCGTTAGTTTGTTTATTCATGATTGTTCTGTAATGAACATGGAATCACAAAAACGACTGTATCATGATCGAGCGTATGGTATGACTGTCTTCTCTGAAACATGGCTTAGTTTAGCAATTTTCTTTTTATTTTTAATTGTAAATGTTGTATATGGCTAATTATTAAGGCTATGTTTGGTTCGAAGGAGAATGTAGGGTAGCCTTTACAAATCTTGTACTAGTTTCCTGTATTTCCCTTCCTTTTCCTACCTTTTCCTTCAAACCAAACATGGCCTAAGGGTTCGACTATGATAGGGAAAGATATGATATCTAAAAAAACTGTAGGTTTTGATTGGTCAAAACTCTTCCAATACCATATCTTTCTGCCATCATAAATTTTCCCAATGATTAAATAGTAAATGAGACGGTGTTGTTGTTTTGAACAAAGCAAGTTGTAGAGGAGTAAACTGAGCAGGGAATAATGGAAAAGTTAATGTTTGAGAGATAAGACAAAATGCCTATGTGAAGGGCATTTATGGCTACCAACTTTGTTTGGTGGAGAGGTCAATATTTGGTGCATTAGGGGATTTGGCTTCTAATAGATATTGTCAATATTAATTAGGAATGCCTACTTCAAACATGTAACTTTATTCCTTACTATCAAATAGACTTGTTCATGGGTCGGGTTCAGGTCGAGCTTTTGCTCTTTATTAACTTAAATTTTTCAGGCCCAAGCCCGAGGCTGGCCCGACCAACGGGCCTAAAACTTGGGCCCAAGCCCAACCCTCATAAAAAGCCCAAAGCTTGACCTGGGAGTCTGAGCGTTGGTGCCCTCTGAGGATTGAGAGAATGATGTCTGTTGAGTTCGCCAATTCTTGGGAGTCTGAGAGTGAGAATAGAAACCGAGAAAGTGAGAAGATAGAAGATGACAATAGTGTCGGCCAGAGAAAGAGAGAAAGAGAGAAAGAGAGCTCATCGCTTGAGAGAGAGAGAGATGATCTAGATCTGGTGGTGCCAGCCACCGGTGCCTGAGTTCACTGAATGAAAGTAGTGCGCCTGGGTTCTGGTGGCGCCGGTTGGAGAGAACTGAGAAGATAGAAGACCTAGTTCAAAGAAGAGAGAGAACTGAGAATGAGAAGAAAGAAGATGAAAATGGTGCCGGATGGAAAGAGAGAGAGAGAGAGAGAGAGAGAGAGAGAGATCACCGCTAAAGAGAGAGATGACTAGTTCTAGTGGAGTTGGCCACCGGTGACTGAGTTCGTAGGTGCAGTTGGGTTCGTTGGTTATGAGAGTTGAGAGGGAGAAATGATTGCTGCTTTTGAGAGGGAGTGAGAAAGGAGAATGAAAAGAAAAATTTTAAGTATTTAGGGTTAGGGTTAGGCAGTTTAGGAAAAGTCGGGTCGGGCTTTTTTAACAAATCCCGAGCCCAACTCGTAAAATAGTCCGGCTCGGGCTTTTAGGCCCGAGGTCAAGCCCACGGGCTAAAACACATGCCTATGAACAGGTCTACTGCCAAAGACTCTTTTGGGTGCTGCCATGCCCATTCAAACTCCAAGATTAAGTTAATATAGTATGCAAGTGATGTAAACTCGGAAGCTGAAATTTTCAATCAAAGTATACTGTCATCTTGCCTCAAATTGGGAATTCCCCAAAGGCACATGAGCCAACTAAGGGGTGGCTTAATGACCATCCCCAACAATAGCTTCATTTCTAACTCTCTTTTCTATGTTCTCGATTTCGCACCTACTTGGTTATTGTTTGTTTGATTGTGGCCAACACTATGTTGTGGCCCTAAAATTCTATTGAGTCTATGGAGAAAGCTCCTTGTAGTTAAGTTTGTGAAATTTGACTTTGCTTTTGTCTTTCTAGATTAATTTCACATTTCACATAGGCCTCATAACTCATAATCAAGATCTTATGTTTTGACTTTGCTTTTGTTTGTATTGATTTCGCATGGGCTTCATATTGTAATTTTTTCTTGGATTTTTAGTGGATTGATTTTGTTCCATCTTTGCCCATGGATATAGGCAATTTGTTGAACCACATAAATCTTATTTTCTTGCATTTTTCTTTAATTTCTTTATTTGCTATTTGTTTGTGATGCTAGATCTCTTTGGTTTATTCATACTAGTAAACATGTGCCTGCATTTGCACGTGACAGTATCTCTAAGACAAAACTATTTATAATTCATGAACAGTTTAGGAACAGTTATAAGTGGGTAGTTTTTGGACAATTATAAGTGGACAGTTACAAGTGGGTAGTTTCTAAAATGAGAGTAAAGGGCATATATTCCCTCTTTATGCCCATTGTATGTTTAGACAAGAGGGATAGAAAACGTCCAATGAAAATTCTAGAAAGAAGGGGCATTCGCTCTTTTATAAGTAGTATAAATTGCTTGAGAAAAAGTTTTTCACATGAAGAGTATTTGAAATTAACGTGGTGGAGTATTTGTGATTATCCAATATACTCCAACAAGCGGTATCAAAGCATTGGTTTTATAATGAGAATCAGAACTTTGGAGTATGATGGCATCAAAGATTTTAAATACACGATTTGAGATTAAGAATTTCAATGGAAAAAATAACTTTTTATGGAAAATTAAAGCTCATAATTTGTTAATCCAAAGGTCTACACAAGGTTTTGAAGGGGAAGACAAATCCTTTTGTCTTTGCTTCCTTCATCTTATAAGCATCTTGTTACTATCTTGCTTTATGGAAAAGAAAGTGTTTTAATGGAGGATGTCACAACAATTCTTCTTTCTAATGAGATGAAAGAAAGGGGTTATTGTTAGTGATGGACAAAATGAAGCTATTGTTGTCTAAGATTGGACAAGGATAGGGGTTCTAAAAATCATGATGACTCAAGATATTCATCCAAACCTAAGAAAGACATTGAATTTACTATATAAGTTGGGGTGCATTAACAAAATTTTCATAAACTTGGGGAAAAGCAAGAGAAAAAAAAAAACTCAAACACAAAAAAGTGGTGGAGAGTTATTTAAAAGAATAATGGATTCTTAATTCTAGTTTTTAGTGTTCGAATATAGGCTGGTTTTTCACTTACACTTGGAATGATTCTCCATGCAACATTTTTGGGATGAGAATAATTAAAATTAGGATGAATGATGATGTTGTGATAACATTGACAAACGTGAGGCATTTTTTATCCCTAAAGTTCACTCTAAGAGGGCATTCTTTTTCTGGATTTTGAGAGGGGGGAAGCTGGTCATTGGGATTCTGGTTCTCATTGACCAAGAATCCCATGTTCATTTTTTAGATTAATGTGGGGAGTAGAGAAAGTTTATTTTCCTGGGTATCACTTACCTAGGAAAGTGATCCGCATCCCCTAGGTGAGTAAATAATTTTCCCACCTAGGAGAAAAATTGCTAACACTTGAATGGGACAAAAATGCTCATTTTAATAATGGATTTTTATAACTAAAATGGTCATTACCTTGTTTATCTGAGAAATAAAAGAATATGGGTAAATGCACTTGCCCGGATAAGTGTTTCCCAAGAAAAACTTATCCAGGTAATTGCATTTACCCGAATAAGTAACTTACAAAAAAATGAAGAATGCCTAAGTGGAAGGGTGGCCATCTTAAAATTTGCATGAAAATTATAAAGGAGGACATAGTTCACCTTTCCCCAAGCCCAATACAACATGTATACCACACTCAAAAACTTATTTACAACAAGTATCATCAAACAATAAAAATTGAACAAAACGTGGAAAAGAACTCTTGGAATAAAAAAGAAAACTTTGAGAGCTATCACACGCCACATTTTCCAAACCATCAGCCGCTGCATTTCCTTCTTTGAATATGTGAGATAAGTTGAAATGCATATCAATCATCATGTTTGAGACTTCATCCACCCAAGGGGATGGACGTGAGACATATTCTTAATTTGAAGAAAATTTGATTTCTTTGAATACTTTAGGCCATGTTTGATTCGCTGCCATTGGCCTCATTCTTTTAATTCTTGCCGATTCTGAGAAAGAATGAGCAAAATGGGATGTAGGTATTTGGATAATCATTTCTTGCCGTAGGACTCATTTTTCCCAAAATGAAATTTCAGTTTTGGCAAAAAACTTAACCTATTCTGTGGCACGAAAATTTTTTGTGCTGCATTACCAATTCTTTTTTTCCTTCGAGTTTGAAACTCAAGCCCTCTCACTGAACCCTCGTCTCCCCTCTCTTTCTCCCTCACTTTCGTAAAATTGATTGAAGCTAAGATCTCGATCTGTTGAAGTCATCGATCCAAAGAGCTCAAATCCAAGGTAATCTCTCTCTCTCTTCGTCTTCTTTATTTTTCTTTCTGGTCTTCTTCTTCTTCTTCTTCTTCTTCTTACTCTCTTTTCCCCTTTTAGGTTGACCACCAATATCAGCCCTATAACCACAGTGAAAGAAGCATCGATTAAGTTATTTGAACAATTTTTGTCTCGTCATTATTTTCTTTATTGTTAATCTAATATGTAACCCTAATTTCTGAAGTTGATACTACTGCTGAAGCATTTGAAGAGTATTGACCAATTTATCAATCATGTATCTGTTGGCGGAAAATGATTCTTATTTGATACCACGGTTTTGCTAAGCAAACACCAGCTTTTGCTAAGCAACACTTGAATTCCATGGTTTGAAACATCGGAATCTGATTCTTATTTGATACCATTGCAATAAGTTGTAATGAAATATGTGTCAGTATATACTTAAATATTCTTATATTTGTGCATTGCCTTTGAAAATTTTCATTTTTAAATATATAGTTCATTTCCATTTATTTAGAAAAATTTCAAAAAGTAATCTCAAAAGAGATTAATAAATACAAGGCAACAAACTCAAAAATACCAGAAGCCCAATAAGAAGGCTGCCCTCCTGTTGAATAGCATATGTCCTGAGAAGGTTTGGATCTTGATTCAGGAAAAGTATAAGATGTCTATCCTGCACTACCAGTAAAATGACGAGATTATTACTAGGACATCTCCCATGAATTGTTAAGGAAATATTTAACATAACAAAGGACCTAAGTATATGCTAAAAGTATGGAACAAACAAACAAATCAGAATTTAGCCATTACCCAGTTAATACAAGCCTTTTATCTTGACTCTGTAAAGCATCAGTGATGATGTCAAAGATGCCTTCATTCATGAGATCCCTACAGGAGACAAATAGAATAAATAGAACAATCAATAGATTTGATAGTCTGCCTAAATAGTCACAGTTGCTGGACCAATTATAAGCTCTTACTTAAACTACAGAACTCATGCAAGAAGAATACCTGTATCATGGAAAGCTTATATTGAGTTGACCCTAACAAGGTAAAACCAAAAAGGAAAAAAAAACAGTTACAAAAATACATGTTATACTATTATACCAACAATGTTGCATCAAAGCCGTCCAAACATTTATTGTTACATTGTGCCCAGAAATTTGTAATTAAGTTTGGCACATACAAATCAGCCAACAATATCACCAGAGATAATGCTCACATGCAGAATTCTCCTACTTGATAATTACACGTCTTTTGATGTGAAATGGTGGTAGCAAGTACATTTACAACCTAAGATTGTAGCTGTCTACGATAACCCTCCCAATTCAAATTAATATTTGAAATAGTTTTATCAACTATACTCGGGGAAAATCCCTTCTGAATTGAATCTTGTAAACAAAGAAAATCTGATTAAAGGGTTAAGAAGCAGGGGCTTGGCAATTCTTTCCTCAAGGGGTTTCTTGGCACGCAATTCTTTTGCAAACCTTTCTTTATTATCAACTCAGTAGAATTAATCGGTTACCAGTCAAAAAAAAATACAGTTCTGACTTCTAAAGCTGGGTTAGAGAAAGGAATCAAAATACAGCATAGGAGAAGGCAATAGGGGGCAATATTGACAATTTTTCGATATAGTTTGGGATAGAAATGGCTTAATACAGGACAACCATGAAATGTCCAATGCCACAGTGGTGTGGAGAACTCTTCTCAGAAGAAACTTGAATGACTGGGAACTGCCAATGATTTTGGAGCTCCTCAAGTTGCTAAATAGGGAGCATGTCAGTCTAGGTCAAGAGGATAGTAGAATCTGGAAGTGGGATTAAATCCCTATACAATCAACTTACTGGGTAAGGGCCTAATCTATTCCCATCCTCGCTGATCTGGCTTTCTACTACTATTCCATCAAAAGTATCCTTCTTCGTTTTGATTTCTGCTCAAGATAGATGTCTAACCAAGGAAAACTTAAGAAAGGGTGTTGGGCTGTCAAGCAATTGTATGTTTCTGTGATGAAGCTCCTAAAACTACGAATCATTTATTCATCCATTGCAAGATTGCAGATTCTCTGTTGGTGTAGGTGAAGGAATTTTTTAGATGAAGGGATGCAACTCAGCTTCAACAATTGATTTTCTCTCAAGCTAAAAGCTGCAAGGTCTGAGAAAATAAGGCTCCATAACATGGAAGACTGCTTTTCTTGCTATGATGTGGACAATATGGACTGATAGGAACCAAGAGATTTTTAAGAATAAAAGTAAATCTGAAGACAGGAATGCATTTTGAAGGATGGAATTTTCTCTTGGGTCAGCACACATAGGTTATTCAAAAGTAAACCTTACAATACTTTTTTTTTATAGAGATACTCTTTTTGTAAATAAGGTTAATATGTAAATTCCCAGTGCATGTCCCTTGGTGTACATGGGTCTTGTATCTTTTTTATCTTATTAATATACATGACATTTTATAAAAAAAAACAAAAAATAAAATCTTTTATCATATCCCATGATAAATGATAATGGATATCATTCCATCACTAGTTCTGTTTTATCTTTTTTCTATTGTTTTTTGTTCCTTTTCCATTGTTAATTTGCTATTTGGTTATCTCGGCATCTTCTTTTATCATTAATAAATTTAGGAGGGATAAGGAAGGGTTTGGTCAATAAAGAGTTTGAGTAATCTATTTGTTTTGGAGTTTTTGTCTCCTTCAGCTAACGACTTGCCACTTAATATAGGAATTTTGTCTCCAGAACATTTCCTCCAACTTGTACATTTCATGTAGAATCTTCCTTTTTTCTTTGAGTTGCTGCTGTTAACATCAGAATTCAATTGCAAATTATGTTCCATTTCAGCCCTTTGTACTTCATCTTCAACATCCCTAACTGCTTGATGGACATTTCCGAATTAGTCATGGTTCCATACTTTCAAGGCACATCTTCAACATCCCTGCACTATATAAATAAGTGAGATCTTTCTCCTAATGCTTACACATAATGCAAATTCTTGGAAACTGAAATCCCCTTGCCATCAACCAATATCTTTAGGAGCACTTCAGTTGTTTAATTGAGCATACATCCTTGCATTGCCCTATTTTAGTCGAGGCTTGTACATCCTTATGAGATATTTTAAATGTGTATGTATTCTTAGATTGACTTTTTAGGGCCAAGGCTAGCGTATCCTTGTGAAATATGACTTAGAAATCTCCAATACATCTAGGACTTTCAGCTTCATATGTTCTCAAAATTGAAAATATTTGAGACTTGTAGCTTGAGAGCTGACTCTGCTTTTCATCCTTTGATGTTCACTTTCTCAAGTTTGTTGGTTTCTTCTAGAATATAAATGCTGATAATTCTGGAATCCTATCAGCCCCTCTAAATATAACTTCTCGGTTTGGGGTTTGGTGCTGGATGGATAGATGCCTATCTAAAGATAAATTGGCTAAGAGGCCTGCAGAGCTCTCTGACCTTTGCTGAAGTTTTTTCATATCTTCTTACATGTGACAAATAAACAGGTGGTTATTATCTAAAATTCCTTTTTGCTTTCCCCATTTATCTTAAACTTACTCGAACTTTTCAATACCTTGGGAGTCTCCCTGTCAGAAATCAGAATCTACTTTGAGGAGAGGAACAATTTTGTATTCCCCTCCCTTAGAGGTTGCATGAAATTTTATACTACCCAACCATCTGAGAGATTGGGAGGCAGGGGTTCATCTTGAGATTCTTGGGTCTTCTGGGAGAAGGAACCTCTCATAGAGCTTAACTGCTTGTCTTACAAGGCTTAAAGTTGGCCTATTTTTTAGGTTAGAGCAGGCTGATGATTAAAGGTGATTGTAAGTGATAATAAAGTTGGTCCTTCACATTTATCCTTAGACTTTAGCTTCCCTCTCTAACAAGTAACAACTCCAGGTGTATGAGAGGATTGGATAATACCCTAGCTGACAGTCTAACTAGAGGAGTTGGAGGAGAAGTCCTTGAGCTATTGTTGTTTTCTACTATTCCTGTTATTAGACTTTCTTAATAGAAGAGGTATCTTCTCATGATTTTTCAATTTTATTATACTAATTTATTTAATTATTGCATATATAAGCAATTGTATACATCAAAATTCATATAAAATTACAATTTTAAGTTGTTTTCAATTTTTTTAAATGAATAGCTTTGGCTCGGTCCATGGCCTGACCTAGCCCAGCCCAAGGCACAGGCCCGCACGAGCTTGGGTTGTGGGACGTGTCGAGCCGACCCCCCAAGTTATCCCAAGGGAGGGTGGCACGGCACGACCTGCACTTTACGTGGATCCGACACGACACGTTTAACACCTCTAACCCTTATATTATTATTTTGATTAATAAAAAAAATGAATGAGAATGAAATTTGTAACCAAACAGGTTACAAATTTTACTCTCATTCTTGCTGTACGTTTGGTTCGTAGCAATATTTTCTCATTCTTCCCATTTTTACTCATTTTTGTACATTTTAGAATTTCATCTTGTGTAAGAATGAGAAAGAATGAGAATTGAACCAAACATGGCCTTAGATTCCAAAGGATGCAAATTTGTTGCTCAAAGGCGGTGTTATGAAGGTTTGGAAAGGTGCACTCAATGTTATATTGGAGAAAAAGATTGAGAATTTGGAGCTACAAAAGATTTGAAGCCCGAAATTTCAACCATAAGGTTTGGTCAAATGGTTGACCTTGTTACGGTAGATGCAAGCAAGTGGGATTTGGTTGTTGATCATGAACAACTTAATTAGAATGTTGAATTCAAGTGAGTATTGTGCATTCAGCGTTTGTGACCTCTTGGATTTTTTGTAGGTTGATTTTGTTTTGTCTTCACCTACGGGGTTGCTGACAACTAACCCCTGAACTTTCATTTGCCACAAATACCCTTGGCCATTAAGTCAGATGATGGAGTGCATTAAGGTCATGTTTAATTCAATTTTCATATTTTTTTATTCTTACCTAAGATGGAATTCTAAAATAGAAAATATTAGGTAAAAATAGACAGAATGAGAATATTGTTATGAACCAAAGACTTTTTTCCTAAAAATGAATTATTTTCAGACCGACAAGTGTCCTATATAGTTCATTCTTATTCTTCAAAAAAAAGTGTCGATATTTACAAACCATCAACCTAGGTCTCCAATAGTCAATGTTTACCAATTGGTATAGATGTTTTGTAAAAGTATTTTGGTAAAAATGCTTTTATAAAAGTACTTTATAAAAATGCTTTCCTAAAAGTACTTTCTTAAAAATACTTTCACAAAAGTGCTTTTAATACATGTAAGGGAAACTTTGTAATCTACCCTTTTTATTTTCTATTTCTTTTGTGATGCCATCATCTCTTTGATTTGTTCTCATTGTTTAAAAAAAGAAAATTTCAAGTGAAGAATGGGATATTTAAGTTA